CCCCCCCCCCCCCCCCCGGCGTGGCGTCAGCTAGAAAACGTGTCTTGTCGGCAAGAATTTCGCTGGTCGCCGTGAGAGTAACCGATTTCGTGAGGCTGATGAGGAACTGCTGTTTTGTATCATGTGTCGTGTGTTCCATTGCCAACCGCAGTTGACGCCTAAAATATGTTGCACGAGCAACACTATAGAAGTTGACACATGTAAGACTTTTCATGAGCAACGGTGTACACATGGAATACTGCTGTACCTTCCACAAGCAACAGAACGTGTCGATCGATCATGTGTAATACTGTGTTTCTGTTCTGCCGTCTATTATGCCGTCGTAATTTTCGCATATGCAGTCTTTCGGTTGCATACATTTTTGTTGTTCTTTGGTCACTCGAGGTGTCCGTCCGCCTGGTGGCTCAGATGCTGCGTATGTTCATGTGCGCGCGTCCCGTAGAGTCTTTTAGCTCTCAACCCCGCTTCAATCCTTGTACAGCAGAACGCACGTCGACAGGGTTCCGATAGATGTTAACGTGGTTTATCTTGTGGACGTTATTTTCGAAATACGAAATATATAAATGCCCCGCCCTACCCCCGCCCTACCCCCGCCCTGGAGTAGCGAGGAGAAGACAGCAGTAGCTGTAACTGGGGCATTAGGAATGGGCGGAGAAGGCGGGAAGTGATATCGATAGGATATGGAAAGCGTTTTTGAGCCACCTTTGGCGAAGTAGCAAGGAACGATTGGCCATCGGTAATCAGTCCCGTGGGCACAACATGCTCCGTCCTCTCGAGGACGTGTGGTCATTGTTCTTACCGTTGAGGCATGCAAAACATAAAGAGTATCCTCGCTCCTCCGCGCAATTGTTGCTTCCGTTGCCCTGCGATCGAAGGCCGTAACTTTTGAACCAAAGATCGGGAAGGTGTACGATACCAAGCCCAAGATCAAGCTCAAGGGGTCGGGGTTTGGCCAGCTCTCAATTGAGGATGTTCGGAATCTCAAGTTCGACCCCCCGATGGAGGTGGGGGGGGGTGTCTTGCAGCAGGCCGCGGTGCAATCGGATGACATCATCGTGCTCGAGCTTGCGCCTGGAGCGAAGTGAGTCTGAGGCCTGAGACGGACGGTCGAAAATCACAATAAACCAATGATACGATTAAGAGCAGCGAGCGGTGAAATGATGGAATGTAGTAGCCTTCGCAGAAAAATAAACCAAGAGGTTTTTCGATCAAATAAACATGTTGAATAAAGCGTGCAATCGGGGAGGTTGGGTTATGGTTATGGTTAGGAAATAGGTTCTGCGTACCCTATCCCTGTCTATTTCCTCGTGAACCTAGTTTCTTGCGAAGGCGGTCCGGAATGAGAGGATGCGCCATATCAATTGATGTAAGACCCTGGGGTACAGTACGTTGAGAATTGAGATTGAGTCCGAAGTTAGCATATGATGGGAATAGTTCCGGCTCAGGCATAGTGAAACTCACGAACGTGACCATTAGAACACATGCTCAGGTAAGGGAAAATGTTGCTCTAAAACCCATGCATGTAATAATCGATGTTGGCTTACCTACATACCCCACCACAGGAAATATGAAAACGAGTCTTGCATCGAGTCTTGGGCAAAAACAAGATGTTCTTGTCGTGCATCGTTTCGTGGCTGGCGTCTTCTGGACACTGTATTTACTACAACACACATAAGTCGGTCTTCCTTCCACCCATGCTGGACTCCGTCCGTAACTCGATTGCTGCTCTGTTGTGTGCATGCAGGTGGGCGGAATCTAATGGGAGCCTCATGCTGGTGGAGGCCGAGCATGGCGGGAAGCAGTTGATCACTGAACCTGTTCTTGTGGGTACTGCTGTACGGCGCCTGGACCCTTCTTGAATGGTTTCGTTATTCCTGCTGCTGTAGCTGGTCTATGCCGCGCATTGTTTCGATCTTTTTTTACCTCTCTCTCTCTCTCTCTCGTTGTCGTTGTCTTCCACTCTCCAGCATGAAGCGATCGAGGCTTTCCCGTTGATTTCCCAAAACCAAAAGTTTCTCCATTAAACAAGCATCACAGGGAAACGCATGCAGCCAACGATATTGTGTTTTCCCCTTGTCGTGGTTTCACATTTTTGACTCGCCTCTCACTTCTCTCTCATGTTTGTCTCCCTCGCCGCGTTTACTATTGTTGTTTCCTTTGTCATTGGTTGCACGTGTGCTGTAAATGCCACAAAAACAGGTGGCGTCCGTGATCCCGACACCGACGGTGTACCCGAGCGATAGGATGCTTTACCTCACAGTCAGCCCGTACGTGAGGATCAACGGCACTAACTTCGACACCAAGACCACCGCTCTCTTCTTCTCCCCGCCCCTCTCCGATGGCACGGACGTCGATATTTTCGTGAGTTTGGCGCTCGCGTTTTCCCTTGGGTAGAATGTTCCGGCCGCAGGCTTGTTGTGGTCGTCGTCAGTTCATGTTTGGCCAAATGCGGTGGGTCTATGTGTTTCCCATGTACGTAGCGGCCGCAGGCTTGTTGGCTTCGAAGTGATGGTGGGACGATGTTTGATATGTCTGTCTGATGAATTCTCATGTATTCCGGTGCATGAAGCACCGCACGCTTGTTGGCTTTGGAAGCGATTGGCCAGAGCGAGATAGCAGAGTGTGCCGCAGGGGGGGAGTCAGCCTTTTTGTCGGAGTGAACGCCCGTTTTTTGTGTTTTTTTTCCGTTTGAAACGATCTGCCGTGCGGTGACATGGAGGTCGATGTTCGAACGGACAACAGTGGGTAATTCCGGACAAAACTGGGTCACAAAGCAGACAAAAAGTAGGTACATGAAGTACGAAGTCGTAGATTTTCGGTGGGTATTCCCACCGGAATTTCGGACAATATCGGGCAATTTGAGGCCTTGTGCGCCGCGGCGGTGTGTGGGGGTGATGACGTGCCCGATTGTTCGTAAAAGTCGATGTTCGTTCGTGTCGTGCATGGACCCTGCCCATGTTGTCCAGGCATCGGAACGAGATTTTGAGTGGCTCGGCCCCTACACGAGTGGTCTCCGCCAAGCAAGCTTTCGAGTACCCACGTTTGTCCGTGAAAGGAGTTGATATTTCCGCCTTTGTCTGCTGTTTTTCCTTTTTTTTTGCTACGCACTTCTGTATGACGGTGAAATCGTGTACGACGTACGACGACCTGATCGTCATCGTCATTTCGCTCGCTTTTTTACCTACGCACTGCCGTACAAGTGTGCAGGTGAAATCATCTACGTTGACGACGATCTAACCATCATCATCACGTCTACGATGTTTTTCGCGCGCTTTGTTAACTTCGCACTACTTGTATGCAGGTGAAATCATCTACGACGATCGTGGTGTACCTCGTACCGAAGACCGAGGGCAACCAGTGGGCGGATGAGCCGGGCCCGCTGAAGCTAGTGGCGATCGACACTGGTGCCGGCCTTCTTCTCCTCCGAGAGGACGTGAGTGACTTCCCCTTGCTCGCTCGCTCGATCGCAGCTGTCAAGAACGGTCACTCCAAGTTGATTCTCTCAGCGTTGTTGATGACGCAGTTGCTGTCGTTGCTGTCGTTGTTGTCGTTGTTGTCGTTGTTGCACGGGTGCCGCCGTGACGGCGTTCGGGCGAAGGCCCACCGTGCCTGTCTCACGATCTGTCTCTTGATAGATATTTGAAGGAGAAACATCTCGACCACCTTCAGGCACTGTCCGTGCCGCCGTTGGTGCCTCTCTCTCTTGGTGTTCACTCCCCCTACCAGAGATCGTGGCCAGCTTTTGGGTGATGCGTGTGAATCATAATATTTGCCTTGCCCGGCGAAAGCCCATCGTATCGCTTCGTCCCGGTCTATGGCTTGCTCGTACATTTAGTAACCCCCCCCCCTCGGTGTTTGCCATCGGGGTTGGGTTTTCGTCGCTTGGCAACGACGTTGTAAAACAAGCCGCCCC